GGCCAGTTCTTTAAAGACTAACACCCAACATGAAGCACCCTAAGCCAAATGAGAGGGGTGAGTTTTGGTCAGTCACATTGGCTAGCTGAAAGCTTTATGCACCACAGAAGTCTTGTTGGGAAGTTTCACCTGCTACACAGGGATATTTTGTTGAAATGCATTGCACCAGTTCTGTAGCAAAGTATTAAGTGGAAGTAGTGAAAGTATTAAAATGGAAGGGCTGATTTTCATGTGAGAAGCAAAAGAGAGGATCTGACTTCCGAATGAGAAATTTCTGGGCATCCAAACCCCTTACTTTCTGATGGTGGATGATGTAATTCTAATATTGCATCAAGCTGCCTATTTAGAGAAGAGGATTTCTGTATACATAAATTTCCTCTCCTGATGAGATGAAGATCCCTTATTGACTATATTTTCTGGTTTTTGCTTCTGGACTGGTTTGGTTTCAATTGTGGGAAAGTGATTCTAGTAAATAGTTTACATATTTGGCTATAAAGCACTGAAGTGGTCACCAGGGTGGGGGTAGAGGGACAAGGGAAAAGACATTTTTTCCACTAGCGAAATTCCACTGGAAATGAGACCTGTGAAAATTAGCTACATGTAACACAATATGACCTCAGAAAAGAGGACAAGTTGGGGTTCTGCTTTCACAGGTTCCGCTTTCACACCCAACGCTCCAGAAGTAGGTGCCATTAAAAATGGAACGGTGTCTCTAAGGAAAAGTGAAGAAAAGCTTATTTTTCCAATACCACAGTTTTTGCAGTGATGGTCAATTTTCACAGCTCTCGTTCCTCTCGGACAGCTATATAAACCAAAATGTAGTAGTTATACACACATACTCTTACCTTGTAATAATGTGTTGCCTAATGCCATCTCATGTAAATGGCTACTGCACATCCAAATGTAGTAATGTCGCTGCATTGTCACATGTTGAGAACCTCCAAAAAAACTTTTAAGTTCATAAAAGACACTTGCATGCTCCTTAATTGCTACATTCAGAGAGCATTTCACTGTCCAAACACAGTGGAAGTATGATCACTGTGCAGCCATTGTGGAAATAAGATTTTGTCATAAAGAATATCTGTCCTTAAAGCTGATTTTTTTCTTGGAAGTGCAATTTTTTTGAATACTTTGATGATGTGCGTGAGCCTACAGCCACACAGGTATGTATGTAAACTCTTCTCAGGAATATGCTTTTATCATCTAAAGGAATAAAGTGCTTGAGGCAGAAGACAGAAATCTCTGGGAAATACTGCTGTGATGAATACATTTGTCAACCGAGTGCCACAGTGATGGATTTCAGGAAAAGATGAAAAGGTTTTTCATGACAGCAAGAAATTTGTAACTCAAAGAAGAGAAAATGAAGCAAACAGTTTGCATTTATGTTTGCATCTTAATAGACAACTTTATTCCTGTTTTCAGGATGTTGTCTTCATTCTCATGCTAAAGGATTTCATTTGTATAAAGTATTAAAACAAAATGGAGTCGTACAGGTACGGGTTAGTACTGTGTCAGTTGCAGCAGTCAGAGAACCTAATATATGGATATTTTAGTCTAAGATTTTTCATTAGTATGGATTTTGGAGTTGCTTTGGACCTGACAGTCGACATGCACAAAGAAAATGCATTAAAATACCTTCAAATTTATTATTAATTAGGATTTGATAACTTGTTGCTCCTGCCCTCCCCTAGAACATATGCCACAACAAATGAAATCAGAAAGGTGTTTCAGCTCTTTGATAGCTGGATCTGCCACTACTGTGCTGGAATCAGTGGTTTTTTTTGTTTTGTTTTGGTTTGTTTTTTTTTTCTTTAGTAGGTGCAAAGATTGAGCCCTGAGCTCCAGCAAGCTGGATATGGTGTGTTTTCTGTTCAGAATCTGTACTGGTGATCTGCTCTCCCTTGTTATCTGACACAGCCTGAGTTTCTTGTAGGGCATGTTGAATAACCTGTATTTTCATTTTCTAAATAGCAAAGTATTATACTTTTCTTGGAAAAGTGGAGAGAATAGCCTGCACATCAGCCAGCATTGAGATGAAGGTAATTAAAGCTCTTTTACTAAAGACATTAACACCAAATATTCCCTCAAGTACGGACTGTAGAGTACTACATTGCCATGAGGTGAATTTGCTAAATTTAAATTTACATACACGGAAATAGCATAATTTAACAGAAATACTGGAAAAGTTCCATGTAACATATTTGCCAATGGTTCTGTACAGGCGACTGGTCTGTGCAACACAGTGTTGATTTAGGGAAAGACTTTGCATTTGCCCACATGCCCAATAGTAAGTGAACTGGAATGTCAGCATGTATTGAAAGTGTTCCACACACTGTGTAGTTATGCTTCTAAACTGCATGTTTTCCAATTCTGTAAAATAATATTAAATTTATTTATTATGTTTCTGAGAACTATGTCCTGCAGTCATACTGTGGAACTGTGTTACCATCATGGTTGGTTTTAAGTTGATTACCCTCTGAAATATGAATCGAGGATGTGAATCACTGTTAGACCTGCCCTGGATCCAAGGATAAGTAGCATCCTCCCTGCACTATAGCTCAGACACACCCACCCACACATAACTCTATGTTATACCCATATAAATATATATATTTCCTTACTGCTGTCATTTAGAGCAGACATTTGGCTGATTGTGGAAGTTCTCTTTTTATTGGTGTTATTACTATTTGCATTACTGTTCCAGCTAAGATTTCCCGCTGTTCATTTCTTTCACAAGTTTCTGTAAGCATCAAAACAGCACCTTTTTAGCCGCAAAGACACCGTTTTGGTAGGAAAAAGCGCAGTTTCTGTGGCAGAGATCACGCCCTGCAGCCTGGGGCGGGTGGCGGCGGCGCTGGACCGGCAGAGCGGCGGCCGGGCGAGCGGAGCCGTGTGCGGCAGCCGCCCGGGCGGCGATGGGCTGATGGGCTGCGCTGGCTTCCAGCGGACTCCCTGCCACGGCAGGGCTGCACGACTGCCGACAGCCGTGGCAAGGCGGCAGGAGTGCCTGGTGGGGGCAGAGGAGGCTTCTGAGGGCTCCTGCTGGGGGTTTGTATGGAGAGGTTGTTGCTGCGGCAGCAAAGGTACAAGCTGCTGAGCGCCAGGTGGATTTCAGGGGTCTGAGACATTTTCGTTGGGGGCAAACCAGTGAAGTCGAGGTGAATGAATCTGGCTATACTTTTAACACTTCCAGAATATAGTATGTCCATCAGAGCGCCATAGGACAAAAAGAGTCCTGAATCCACAAATCTCTGGCAGCTTTTCTCTCCAAAAAGGAAGCCCAGTTGCTCAGCCTGCATTGCACCTTCCCCAGCCACCCCGAACTGGCACTGCACCTGGTAAGGGCAATGGATCAGCTCCACTGCATGATCGTATCTGGTGTTAGGCATTATTAATAGTTTCTCTTGTAGGGACTGGCCAGAATTGTGCTTCTCTTTGTGCTGAACAAGTACAAACAAAATGTAGCTCAGAAGTTCTTTTAGTGTCTGATACCTTTGCTTCTCCCCTATGAAAAAACCCAGCACAAACTCCTTCATCTTACATCTGGTGCAGACATTTACATCTTTGGAGCTGAGGTCACTGCACCACTGCCTTCCCACCATGGGAACACAGCGATGCCCTCTCCGCTGGTGTGGCCAGATCCTGCATAAAACAGGCTGTGACTGCTTAGCCCATTGTTCACAGGTACATGTAATGACTCACAATGCAAAACAGAAGTACTGTGCAAGACAAAGTGGTTTTGGCTGGGAATCATGTATTCATCCACCTGAAATCAGTGTTTGTTTTCTTTTAGCAGGCTTTTGGACAGGTCTGCATGAGGCCAAGCAGTGTGAGGAGGCACTGGAAGGGAGGAAAGAAGAAAGCTGACACTTAAATTATAGTAGTAATTAGTAGTAAAAACTGCATATCTCAATGTAAGGTATAGATCTGTGTGTATGTACTGGCAGGTCTGTATGTGCTGAGCTGCAGATTTTCACCCAGTGTAATAATTCTTGTGATTTCTCTCAGACCATCAGCAGTGCTGAGCTGGAACCTTCTCCTGATAGCCGATTTTCCAACTTTGTCAAAACACCTCAACTGCATAATAAATAATGCAAATGGACATTCTCTGATCACCCATAAACCCAAGAGGAGATATACATTATCTGAAACTTTTACTGGTTCATGGGAGGTTTTGATCTTCAGGAGATTTGCAAAATCAAATCAGCAGAGTGCAGAGGACCACCTACTTGGCAGGCTTTGGAGCAGGACGTGACCCCAGATGGGATGTGTGGCACACCAGCAGATCAGTGGCCCAGGACCCACCAGCACTGGGTGCCTGCAGCTCAGGGACCTCATCTGGAGCTGCCAGCAAGGAGTCATAGCCAGCCACAGGCAGCATGTGCCCACCACAGCAGTCTGGTAAGTTTTGGTTAAGTTATCAGGGTCAGATTCAGTTTTCTGATTCGTAAGTGTCAGGTAAGCTGGGTAAATAAAGAGCCACCAAGAAAAGGCTGGTTATATTTTCTGAGCAGTATGTACATCTTCGTTTGTGGTTATATCAATCTAGTCCCTCTGAAAAGTCTAAGAAGATGTGCATTCAGTATCTCATGTACCCTAAAGGTTAAGACTGCAGCAATAATTAAAAGAAATACTACCTTTCTTATTTTTAAAGACCTTAAGACTTCTGCCAGCCCAACTCAGGATTTCTGAATGCTTGGGGCTGGCACTACCATTGTTTTCACTATCACACAATCCCTCTTCCAGCTCCCCTGAACCAGATTGGTGCTCTTCTATTTCAGGAAACACTAGGGTGGACAAAGTGAGCTAATAGCATGCCCCTTACTCTTTCCTATTCTTCAGAAGAGAAATTTTGCAGTGAGGCTGTGGTTTCACAGGAGATGCTGCAAGCAGCTGGGGATGTGAGCATCCCTGGATGCACTGCCAAGACCCTGCTTCTGCCACCTGGGCAGGCAGGCTGAAAAATAACTTTTTTCTTTCTATTTTTTTTTTTTCCTGAATGATCTTTAACTAAGACCTGTCCACTAAGCCAGCTCATTGCACAGTCACAGAAATAATCCTTCTAAGTATGGTCAAGGACAACACAGGCCTGGGAGAGAGGGGTGGGAGTCATGGGACTGCTTCCACTGGCTGCTGCCAAGTGCACGTGTGAAAGCACATCCTGCTAGAAGGCTGGGTTGTGTCTGGGCATTCACAGCTTGACCTAGGGCCCTTTGTTCCTTGTTAAATGTGATTTCTAATTGACTATTGTAGATAGAAACTGTATTTTTTTTCCTGCTGAAACCATGTAAAGAAGCTGTGGGATAGGTGGTAACTGTTCCCATCAAAACAGACACTTCTATGCAGGACACAACAGATTTTCTTTGAAATGTACAAGAAAGTGATATTAATAATCTCATCAATTCCATATGTATCTGGTTTCTCATTTGTGATCCATGGCTATCCTGTTTCTGTTGAACTCATTGATTCAAAATATCAGGCTTAAAAAGCTCTGGAGAGCAAACAGGGAAATCCTCACTGTCCCTTTTGTAATGTAAACCTAGATTTTTGTTCCTTTATTCTAAAAGCAAAAAAGATTAAAAATAAATGTAAATACTTATATCAGTTTAATTTAAAAATAACAGAACTGATCTATTTGTATTCCCAGTGACATATTTAGTGCTGTTTTTAAAGACTCTTATTAAATCTAATCATCCTTCCCAAAATATATTTGCATTTAACAGTGTTTTACAGCACCCCACAGTTTACTATCTATGATATATCAAAATAAATATGTGATTTTTTTTTGCAGTCTCCCACAGTAGTCTATGGAAGAAAATGGAGAAAACAATTTTCTTCTCTTTGTCAAAGATAGTTTAAGGGCATCTGTGGTCTGTGATTATATTTAACATTTACTCTCAGTGTTCTAATCCCCTTTGGGTTTAGTAAAAAACACAAACCGATTAATTTGAAAACATAGTATTCAAACCATTTAATTGCATGGTCAAGGTATGGGAAGGGGAAAATTAACTTGGGATGGTAAGAGACACAGGACTATCTAAAAGACTACTGCCTCTCCATTACTAACATATCTCTCTTCATTTGTAGCACATGACAAATCTAGATGGGATCCTGTAGCCACTCAGCCCTGAGACTTGAGGACAGATCCCTGAAATTCTTGGATAATTGAATGGCACAGACCTGGTGCTGGAGACTTTTCCCCAGAAAGATGTCACAGCTGCCCTCCAGAATGAGAACCTGGGTTCCTACCTGTGAAAGTCAAAGTCAGCACTGGATTAGCTTCTGTCCTTGTAAACTCCTCAGTAGGTTGTCAGTGTCCCTACCTGGGCAGGGGAGCTGGCAGCCATCAGGTCTCACAGGTTGTGCACAGCTGCAGGTACACATACTGTAACATGAGCAGAAACATAATTTATCATAATTTCACTATTCCTTATTGCATAATACATGTGTTTTTATTATGTCAAATCTACATAGCCCATATATAAGGAAATATAATGTATATATATATAAATATAGGTTAAAAAATGTGTTATATTTATCTAACAGCTGAAATGGTTTCCAAAAAAATTAGTACAAGTCAGGTTTGTCAACTCTCTTAAGCATCCTTGCACCAGCCTTCCAGTGCAAAATCACCCTGGAGGAGTACACCCACTTTCTGACACATCCAGGGTAAAAAAAGAAAAAGAAGGAAGTGTGGAATCCTGACAACTTTATGTTGCAGTGCAAGACTAGCTGTAGTAAGAGCTGTAAGGTAGCTGGGACATCCTTGAAACTTGAGCAAGATCCAAGTACAGGTTGGAGCTCTCAGCAGGTGTTGCCATAGTCAGAATTTTTTTGGCTGTTCTAGTCTGTATCCTCAAACCTGGGGACAAGGAAGTGCATGATGTTGTACCCTCCTTGCTGATTTTGCCCTGCTGGCTGTGCAGTTGTGTTTGGGCATTTGCTTCAAAAAGGAAAAGAAAAAACTCTGAGCATGACCTGCTGCTGGCAGAAACAGGTATTTTGATGCTGTTAGAGTGCTGCTACACCTTATTTTCTAGATCAAAAGTCAGTGACTACATTTTGCATGTAAGTAACAGAAAACATTGAAGTTCAGTTTCTAGGGAAAGAGTAAACCTATTAGGTGATCAAGGGAAGCTATAAAAGAGAACTGATCAAGATAAATCTAAAAGAACAATGTAAATTCATTAAGCTGGTAATTGCCCATGTGTGACAAATTTCTTTCAGTTACCATACTTTCTTTGCAGTAATACTGACACAACACTATAAAATTTAGGGCTCTTTTTCATGTCTGCACCATCCCAGTGGGATCTCCAGCTGAAATTCTGCTCCAAGGAATACAGCACATAATCAGTCCCTTTGAAACTGCTTCAGTAATGCTGAATCCATATAAGTGCAGATGCCAATTATGCTAATGAAACTGCAATGGGCCTGTGGTTCTTGCCATCCTCTAACAGTGCTGTAAAACTACTGTCAAACTCAGCAGCTAAATTTTTGTAGCATATGACCATATAGAATACTGAAATTTGCTGCATGGTGGAGTTTATGCAACATATTCCCCAAACCTAAACCTGCTAAGAACACAAAGAAAGCAAGAGGTAACTGTAGAAAGTCTGGGATTTTTTGTTGTTGTTGTTGTTTGGTTTTGTTAGGTTTTTTGGGGTTTTTTTTGTTACCTTTTCTCCTTGTCCTGTATTCACATCTCCAGAAGGTGCAAGGCTAATGCAAATAATATTTATATTGCCCTCCTTTCTTGCTCCCTGTCTCCCTCTAAGGCAATGCTCCATCCTGAGGAGCAGGCACTAGAAACATAGTGGGCTAGCAAAATTTCAAAGTGCCCCTGAGAAAACCCAAGACAGATCCTTAACATCTTTTCTCCACTTGTTCTTTTGGGCTGATAGGATCTCTGACAGAAATACTCACTGATGCCTTGGCAGGGCATTTCTTTGGGCTCAGGCAGGACCTGTCACGTGTGGTTTCTCTTTTCCTCTGTTGTGTTCTCTCACAGAGCCCTACTGTGGCAAGGATAACTCTTCTTCTCAGGCAACAAGTTCAAAGTCTACATGTTAAAATGTCTACATCCCCTCCCCTTTGTCTTTACAGCCTGGCAATGTTATAATCATCTCTGCAATACAGCACAGGCCAAGGTACCAATCAGCCTGTGTGAACAACAGCATTAAGGCCACTATAAATTCCCTCTGAGGACACTTTTAGGGTGTGGTGGGAGTAGTTAATACAGATCATGAGAAGACACAGACAGGAATATGGATTCATCAGGAGTAATAGCTTCCACACATGACTAGTCAGGATAAAAGAAATGGCAATACAAGGCTGAACAGTCTACATTATTAGGCTATTACTTCTTGCATCAGTGGAAACTACTGCCTTACTATTTTTTTCCCCACATTAAATCCTATCACCACCATTATGGTTCCAGCACTGCTGTGTTTCAACAGTGCTTCATCCCTTCTTCATGCACACTTACTACAAATACTACAGTCTCAGGGAAACAGCTTTGAAATCATTGTTGCTGCAAGTGCATCTGCCTTCAATTCTGTCATCACATGGTGGACCATGACAATTGCAGTCCACGGTATTTTTATAAAAGCAGTGAAAACCTCAAATGTTAACCTTTTGCTTAGATTATTGCTTATAAAACAATAATATGCTGTCATGTTCTCCCATCCTCTCATCTGCAGTTGAAGGGACATCTCACTAATGACTCTAAATCCATGATGGGTGAGGTGTGCTTAGAATTACTGTTGTAGTTATTGGCTGGCAGCTTTTCTGGGGATAGACTTCGTTCCTTGGTGTGCCTGAAAATCCATGCTAATGTTCCTCCCTAACTTCCCAGGGCACTGGTTGAAGAGCAAAGGCAGCCTATGGTGGGGAGGTCCTTCAGCTCACAGGAGTCACCTACTCTGCCCCTGCTCCACAGGCTGCAGAGGAGTTCATGAAGCAGTTCCTAAACCATTTGCAGCCTGTCATTTGAAAATGAAGTTTCACAGGTCCCAAAATGAGGCAGAAATACTAATCTTCTCATGTTTCCTAACACTTACTGTGCCTTTCCTTGAGTCAGAGCCCAGAGACGTGCTATGATACTTGATCTTTAGGCTGTGCAGATGTAACACAAAGTAACAAAGTAATTTCCAAAATTAAGTCTCCTGACACTGACACAGTGCTGACAATGCTCAGATAACTAATACTTATTTTTTCTCCAAGGAAAATTATGAAAATATTAAACACAGTTGTTATTTGCTTAACTGGTTCTACATTACTTTGACTTCTCTGTACTCTAGCAAAAGAGGAGCAAGGACATGACACCCCAACATAACAAGGCACACCCTTCTCTCTGTATTTCACTGTTGGCTTCAGCATCGCATCCTCAGCCCTGAGCTGGCATTAGATATTATAAGAGCAGTTGCAGCCTAGGCTTGGGGAGCAGACTAAGCAGCAACAGCTAAGAAGTGTTACATGGCTCCTGCATTTGTGAGGATCATCTGGTTCCTGTCTGTGGTCTGAACTGCTCATTAGAAGCATTCATATACACACACACATGCACACACACACACACCATAGGATAAAATGCCCTCAGGAAAAACTCATACTCACACCTGGACTTGCAAAGATACACATAACGAGTGCAGAAGTATACACATGGGCACGTGGAAAACTCAACAGTTCTGTGGAATTTGCCCATACTTTATGCTCCTTGAAAGGGCTTGAGTATTGATTTAATCATTCCTTCCTTGCTACTCTCTGCTGTCACCACGTGTTAACCACAATTTTGGGTTTTTTTTCTGAAATAATACTGCCCCTTGAACTAGAAACACGTGTTCTGCCGTGGGTGAGAAGAACCTGGAATTTGGCAGTACTCAAGAGAAAAAATGTGAAATGGGCAAGCCATTCCTTGGCAGACTGGACATTGCTGGAAACAGTATAACAAGCCTCAAAAGAGCCCCCTATAAGCAAAACTTCAAATTCTGAATTGAGGATTCATGCTATTTATAACCAGTACAGTTTATGGATGTGTGTCAGGAAATGCCAGACTAGTGTTTGTAAGTTCAAGTTCCTGCACTGACAGTTTCTCTCTCTCCCCACCATGCCTTCCTCTTGCACTTGGATTTCTTGTCATGCTTTTTGAGGATGAAAAATGAATTAATAATGAACAAAAGTGGAATGCAGTCAGGAAATCACTTTCTTCCTAATTTCCATGATCTGGTAGTTTGCCTGTTCCCTTAGGAATGAAAGGCAGCCTTCCAGTTTGGGCTTAATAAAAGTAATTGTGGATATTTTTACTGTTGGTACAAATTACTAATTAAATAAATATTAACATCCATCATACAAAATATGGGTAAGTTTTAACCATGTCATTACACACTACTAAAAATGAGTGTGGCTCGGAGCTAAGAGGACAGCAAATTTCTACAAGCTGGACTTAGTGTGGCTTCGTTCTTAGCTAAATTTATTTCATCTTAAATAACCCGTGAAGGATGACATTTAAGTGACAATCTGTTGATAGCTAATCACAAGCCTACAGTGTATAATTTCAATGGAATGTCTCGATGTGCAAGTTAAGGTTAGTGTAACAATTTGCTGGTTTATGGTCTTGTTGAGGTAAACGAAGCATATGCAAGGCTTAGCTGTTCTCTCTTCCCTCTGTCTGGCAAGGTCTGAAAGCACATGCCTAGGTATAGATGCAGTGTTACCAATTCTCACATTGGTTAATGTGTTAACAGCACATAGTCCTGGGCCAAGGAATGATTTCAGAGTATCAGTTTGCATTTAAAACGTAAATTCAAGCTTGGTTTCCAGATTTTGTGACTGAGAGATAATGGATGGTTAATCCTAGCTCCAAGCCAAGAATGACACTGAAGATGAAGATGTTACAGTGTCGCCACTCATGTTTCTGAGAGGCTGTTTATGCATACCAAAGCTTGTCTTAAGTCAGTGGTCCTCCAGCTCCACAGGTGTCCTTGCAGTTGTTTGTCACACCTTGCTGGATCAGCACGCTGGGGAAGGATAGGGAGCTAATGCTCAGTGAGGATCAAGGATAGGAAATGTGAGACATGGATACAAAGGTTTCATCTTACTGTTGACAAATTGTAGCCTTATTAGCATTTACTTCTGCTTTTGCACATCATTTAATTCCAGTGCCTATAAGGAGGTTTTTGAGGACACAAAACCAGGGTTTTCATGGTGGTGCATGGCAAGGGCATGTGAAAAAACAGGTGTAGCTCGAAAGAGGAGATGCTCTGACTGGATATAAAGAAACACCATGAGGCAAATTGAGCATGGGAAAGTGTTGACCAGAGAGGTTGTACAGTCTGTGTCCTTGGAGGTTTTAAAGAACCTGACTGTTTAGAGCCCTGAGGACAGGAGCCCTCCA